GTGTCAGGTGTGTTGTGTGGTGTCAGGTGTGGTTTGTGTGGTGTCAGGTGTGGTTTGTGTGGTGTCAGGTGTGGTTTGTGTGGTGTCAAGTGGTTTGTGTGGTGTCAGGTGTGGTTTGTTTGGTGTCAGGTGTGTTGTGTCAGCTGTGTTGTGTGGTGTGTCAGCTGTGTTGTGTGGTGTGTCAGCTGTGTTGTGTGGTGTGTCAGCTGTGTTGTGTGGTGTCAGGTGTGTTGTGTGGTGTCAGGTGTGCTGTGTAGTGTGTCAGCTGTGTTGTGTGGTGTCAGCTGTGTTGTGTGGTGTCAGCTATGTTGTGTGGTGTGTCAGCTGTGTTGTGTGGTGTCAGCTATGTTGTGTGGTGTGTCAGCTGTGTGGTGTCAGCTGTGTTGTGTGGTGTCAGTTGTGTTGTGTGGTGTCAGCTGTGTTGTGTGGTGTGTCAGCTGTGTTGTGTGGTGTGTCAGCTGTGTTGTGTGGTGTCAGCTGTGTTGTGTGGTGTCAGCTGTGTTGTGTGGTGTGTCAGGTATGTTGTGTGGTGTCAGCTGTGTTGTGTGGTGTCAGCTGTGTTGTGTGGTGTGTCAGCTGTGTTGTGTGGTGTCAGGTGTGTTGTGTGGTGTCAGGTGTGCTGTGTAGTGTGTCAGCTGTGTTGTGTGGTGTCAGCTATGTTGTGTGGTGTGTCAGCTGTGTTGTGTGGTGTCAGCTATGTTGTGTGGTGTGTCAGCTGTGTGGTGTCAGCTGTGTTGTGTGGTGTCAGTTGTGTTGTGTGGTGTGTCAGCTGTGTTGTGGTGTGTCAGCTGTGTTGTGTGGTGTGTCAGCTGTGTTGTGTGGTGTCAGCTATGTTGTGTGGTGTGTCAGCTGTGTTGTGTGGTGTCAGCTGTGTTGTGTGGTGTCAGCTGTGTTGTGTGGTATCAGCTGTGTTGTGGTGTCAGCTGTGTTGTGTGGTGTGTCAGCTGTGTTGTGTGGTGTGTCAGCTGTGTTGTGTGGTGTCAGCTGTGTTGTGTGGTGTGTCAGCTGTGTTGTGTGGTGTCAGCTGTGTTGTGTGGTGTCAGGTGTGTTGTGTGGTGTGTCAGCTGTGTTGTGTGGTGTGTCAGCTGTGTTGTGTGGTGTCAGGTGTGTTGTGTGGTGTCAGGTGTGTTGTGTGGTGTCAGGTGTGTGGTGTCAGGTGTGTTGTGTGGTGTGTCAGCTGTGTTGTGTTGTGTGTCAGCTGTGTTGTGTGGTGTGTCAGCTGTGTTGTGTTGTGTGTCAGCTGTGTTGTGGTGTGTCAGCTGTGTTGTGTGGTGTGTCAGCTGTGTTGTGTGGTGTCAGGTGTGTTGTGTGGTGTGTCAGCTGTGTTGTGTGGTGTGTCAGCTGTGTTGTGTGGTGTCAGGTGTGTTGTGTGGTGTGTCAGCTGTGTTGTGTGGTGTGTCAGCTGTGTTGTGTGGTGTCAGGTGTGTTGTGTGGTGTCAGCTGTGTTGTGTGGTGTCAGCTGTGTTGTGTGGTGTCAGCTGTGTTGTGTGGTGTCAGGTGTGTGTGGTGTGTCAGCTGTGTTGTGTGGTGTGTCAGCTGTGTTGTGTGGTGTCAGCTGTGTTGTGTGGTGTCAGCTGTGGTGTGTCAGCTGTGTTGTGTGGTGCGTCAGGTGTGTTGTGTGGTGTCAGGTGTGCTGTGTGGTGTCAGCTGTGTTGTGTGGTGTCAGCTGTGTTGTGTGGTGTGTCAGCTGTGTTGTGTGGTGTGTCAGCTGTGTTGTGTGGTGTCCAGCTGTGTTGTGTGGTGTCAGGTGTGTTGTGTGGTGTCAGCTGTGTTGTGTGGTGTGTCAGCTGTGTTGTGTGGTGTGTCAGCTGTGTTGTGTGGTATCCAGCTGTGTTGTGTGGTGTCAGGTGTGTTGTGTGGTGTCAGCTGTGTTGTGTGGTGTGTCAGCTGTGTTGTGTGGTGTGTCAGCTGTGTTGTGTGGTGTCCAGCTGTGTTGTGTGGTGTCAGGTGTGTTGTGTGGTGTCAGCTGTGTTGTGTGGTGTGTCAGGTGTGTTGTGTGGTGTCAGGTGTGTTGTGTGGTGTCAGCTGTGTTGTGTGGTGTGTCAGCTGTGTTGTGTGGTGTGTCAGCTGTGTTGTGTGGTGTCCAGCTGTGTTGTGTGGTGTCAGGTGTGTTGTGTGGTGTCAGCTGTGTTGTGTGGTGTGTCAGGTGTGTTGTGTGGTGTCAGCTGTGTTGTGTGGTGTGTCAGCTGTGTTGTGTGGTGTGTCAGCTGTGTTGTGGTGTGTCAGCTGTGTTGTGTAGTGTGTCAGGTGTGTTGTGTCAGCTGTGTTGTGTGGTGTGTCAGCTGTGTTGTGTGGTGTCAGCTGTGTTGTGTGGTGTCAGCTGTGTTGTGTGGTGTCAGGTCTGTTGTGTGGTGTCAGCTGTGTTGTGTGGTGTGTCAGCTGTGTTGTGTGGTGTGTCAGCTGTGTTGTGGTGTGTCAGCTGTGTTGTGTGGTGTGTCAGCTGTGTTGTGTGGTGTGTCAGCTGTGTTGTGGTGTGTCAGCTGTGTTGTGTGGTGTGTCAGCTGTGTTGTGTGGTGTGTCAGCTGTGTTGTGGTGTGTCAGCTGTGTTGTGTGGTGTCAGGTGTGTTGTGTGGTGTGTCAGGTGTGTTGTGTGGTGTCAGCTGTGTTGTGTGGTGTCAGCTGTGTTGTGTGGTGTCAGCTGTGTTGTGTGGTGTCAGCTGTGTTGTGTGGTGTGTCAGGTGTGTTGTGTGGTGTCAGGTGTGTTGTGTGGTGTCAGCTGTGTTGTGTGGTGTGTCAGCTGTGTTGTGTGGTGTGTCAGCTGTGTTGTGTGGTGTCAGGTGTGTTGTGTGGTGTCAGGTGTGTTGTGTGGTGTCAGGTGTGTTGTGTGGTGTCAGGTGTGTTGTGTGGTGTCAGCTGTGTTGTGTGGTGTCAGCTGTGTTGTGTGGTGTGTCAGCTGTGTTGTGTGGTGTCAGGTGTGTTGTGTGGTGTGTCAGCTGTGTTGTGTGGTGTCAGCTGTGTTGTGTGGTGTCAGCTGTGTTGTGTGGTGTCAGGTGTGTGTGTGGTGTCAGCTGTGTTGTGTGGTGTCAGGTGTGTGTGTGGTGTCAGCTGTGTTGTGTGGTGTCAGGTGTGTGTGGTGTCAGCTGTGTTGTGTGGTGTGTTGTGTGGTGTCAGGTGTGTTGTGTGGTGTCAGCTGTGTTGTGTGGTGTCAGCTGTGTTGTGTGGTGTCAGCTGTGTTGTGTGGTGTCAGCTGTGTTGTGTGGTGTCAGCTGTGTTGTGTGGTGTCAGGTGTGTTGTGTGGTGTCAGGTGTGTTGTGTGGTATCAGCTGTGTTGTGTGGTATCAGCTGTGTTGTGTGGTATCAGCTGTGTTGTGTGGTGTCAGCTGTGTTGTGTGGTGTCAGCTGTGTTGTGTGGTATCAGCTGTGTTGTGTGGTATCAGCTGTGTTGTGTGGTGTCAGCTGTGCATGTGGTGTCAGCTGTGCATGTGGTATCAGCTGTGTCTAGCATATTATAACTTAATATAATGTGAATATATCCAGCATATTATAGCTGCATTTATCATAGCATACCTAGCTTGCTGTACAACTTATATAAAATAAACATACCTTTATTTAACTATTTCTAGCTAGTGTAGGAATATACTTGAATTTCACTCGTAATATACCCCACTAATGTATTTCAAATTATCTTCCAATTTTCCTGTAAACATTTTGGTAAATTTTGCTAGAAATTACCTACTGAAAATTATCTGTTGGATTAAGGACAGGTCCTTAAGTGGCTTTGACATGCTTAAGGCATTAGAAATGCTCTAAGCATTCACACCTGTACAACTCTACGCTCCCAAATACATACACTTTTAACACTCACCCTTACTTTCACGATACACACCTGCTACACACCTACATACCTGCTACACACCTGCCTACAAACTCTCCTTAACCTAAGCACACACGCCATTAAAGACATATGAGGACAGAATCGAGCGAGCGGGGCGCCCCTCACCTCTTAAGACGAGACCCCCTCCCCCGCACACACCTGTCACAGGTGTGTCTTACATGGCACACACCTGCCACAAGGTGTGCCTTACCTGGCACACACCTGTCACAGGTGTCGCGCACGGTCTACGTCACAATTTACACTACAAAACTGAAATATTCCTAGGCCTCGTATATCACATATATGTATTATATTAGGCCTCAGATAGCCGTGTATTAGGCCTAAAAAGGTTAAGTTTTCTTTGCAACATCAGTACGAAAACCTTTTCCTGTTTATCCAAATTCAGTAGTACCGATTTCTACTTTCTAGTTGCCTCACACATCAATATGTACGATAGTGCACATGTTACTATATGTACCACCTATATCGGAGGATGTATTAACATAACCAGGCCAGTATACATGCTGTATGATTTGTCTATGTAAATACATGCATGCATACTTAAACCAGAGCTAATTAAGCCTAGCTACCAGTATCCTATCATAACTTGCTATATTAAACTTACCAATCTGAACTTTTACTTAACTAAAGTGTACTTATCCGAGCTTAGCCGATCTCCAGAATGCAACCTAATAGCACTTGCCTAACTCCTGGGTACCTCTGTACTGCTAGATGAAGAGTGGTATTAGGTGAAAGGAAACATGCCCAACCCTTACAGTCCCACCTGGTAAATCAACCCTCCCGGGGATCCTTGATTGTGAGTCGAGAACGAAGCCAACTGTACTACAGGGCCTTTATTTGAGCTGACGTCTCCTAACTTTACATAACCAAGGCATGCCCCACTAACTTAGCCTCAGCATACCATGCTTTAACTCTCCCTAAGTATACCTAAAGCATTCTTAATTACTACCCTAATTTAACCTAAGTGACTCTACTCTTACTTAATCTAAACATGTATATCGTAACTTGATCTGTTAATATTACAGCAAGAATTATATAATAGCATTATGGGTGACAGTCAGTAGGTGTGTTTAGCTGGGGAGGCCCGGGATGTGGGTTTGAACCTTTGGCATGACTTCAATATATTGCTAAAAGATTAGTCTATAAATATGTTTGCCTCTCGCAGAAGGGACAATGTTGGAGGAGGTAAGCGGACAGCCGGACGGGATGCAGCCGGATGGGGCGCCCACCATGACACAACAACTGCCTCAAGTGTTTAGGTGCTTTGTGCAGACACCTACGTACCCTCTCTCCTCTCCACCTTCTAGTCCACTCAGCCCCATCACGTCCATAGTGCCTATAGTCTACTCTCCAAATGATACGGTCTTGCCCGCCGGCGGAGACGACACCAGCAAGCCCACTACTTCAGATGCCATGAGTCCGAGTTCTCCAATATATTGTAATACATACATTGGGTACACATCTCCTTACCAATGTGTCATGTATACCATGTGCCCTGTGGTGCCCATCCCCTTGTCAAGTCCCTCAGACGGGGAGAACTACAACAGTAGCGAGTCGTCCAACGGCTTCCAGAAAGAGGCTGATGAATCCATGGCATGTGAGTATGAGTACCCAGAGCCGGTGCTGTGCCCCATGCCCAATTATGCCGCGCCATCGTGCCTCCTCGTGTCACGGGAAGAGGAGAGCTTTGAGAAATCTGTGAACGAAAGCGCCTCTCCACCATCCATTGTCACAAACTTGTTCCCCAAAGTTAGTGATGATGGGTTATTGGTCACGTCTGGGGACGAGTGCAGTCATGAAACCAAGCCAGAAACAGACAGTCGTGATATCGGGGTGTTTGGCGTGGACGGCTGTTGGTATCCCGTTGTTAACCTCTCCGCCAACGACTCCGGCGTGGACGTGACCACACCCGAGTCCTTCCACCAGTCTGAGCCGCCGTTGAGAAAGCAGCCTCAGGAGTGCCAGCAGTATAACATTTGGAAAAGGCCGGCGTCATTCAACCCCTCTCTCTTGTCTCGGAGAACACCAGCCTCGGTCACCGACACGAGATCCTTTTCCAGACTACAAAAGCCAAGGCCTCAGCCTTCCAAGAGTACCCCTCTTCCCTTCTATAACCTCTATCATCACCTCGACCTTCCCACCAACATCTTGGGTCGTCCTCGACTCCTACACACTCTCCGTAAAGATGGCCAACTGTGAGTTACCGTGGATATGTTCTTAGTATGATGCCTGCACTAGGAGTATACTGGGTTGGTGTGTATATGTTCTAAGTATGATGCCTGCACTAGGAGTATACTGGGTTGGTGTGTATATGTTCTTAGTATGATGCCTGCACTAGGAGTATACTGGGTTGGTGTGTATATGTTCTTAGTATGATGCCTGCACTAGGAGTATACTCTTTAGACAGTTTACAGCCTCAAAACTGTTATATTTGCAGATAACATGTCAGAGTTTCACATTGACATTGCATGAACATGATTGCAGTGTAGTCATGAGGACCAATGCATCATTTGTTTATGTAGGCAAGTTGCAAGATTGGTGAATAGTCTCAAACATTAGCCTTTAATGAATTTGCAAGACTGATTCACCACTTAATAATTACCTAGAACATACCTGGGAGAGGGTTCTGGGAGTTCTACTCCCCTTAATCTATTTGTGAGAGCTTGGTCCACCAGGCTGTTGCATGGAGCTGCCCGCAGGCCCACATATCCACTACAACCTGGTTGGTCCGGCACTTCTTGCAAGAACCTGTCCAAATGCCTCTTCAATACATCCACCTTTGTACAAAAATCTGTATTTACACAACCTTCTTGTCTATACCAGCCAGTATAAGAAATATAGCCGTAACAACCGTGGACATCTTCAAGAGGAAACTAGGCGGCTTTCTTCAAGGAGTGCCGGACCAACCGGGCTGTGGTGGGTATGTGGGCCTGCGGGCCGCTCCAAGCAACAGCCTGCTAGCCCAAACTCTCACAAGTCAAACCTGGCCTCAGGCCGGGCTTGGGGAGTAGAAGAACTCCCAGAACCCCATCAAGCAGGTATATGAGGACCTGGGGCCGTTCCAAGCAACAGCCTGGTAAACCAAACTCAAAACAGACAGAGTTTGTCAAGCCTGGCCTCAGGCAGGGTTTGGGGAGTAGAAGAACTCCCAGAACCCCATCAAGCAGGTATATATATATTTATATGTCAACACACTGAAACTGCTGATAACATTCAACAGGTGTGTTGAGGAGCTGTGGCAGAAGCACATGTTGGTGTTGTTCCGTAACTTCCGCGACGACTGGGTGTTGAGCAGCGCCCACCCCGCCAAGAAGTTTGGACCCAGTTGGCACATGTTTAAGGATCTGGCTAAAGTCCGCTTCTATTGCAGGGTAAATAACTTATCTTATACGTTATTAATGGTAATTATGGGTAATTATTGAACTTCTGGACCTGTGATGCCTTTTCCCCTTCCGCATGAAAATGGAAAATGTATAAAAGATTACTTCAGATTTAACATTTAAGCGATGAGTCACAATAACGTGGCTGAAGTATGTTGACCAGACCACACACTAGAAATTGAAGGGACGACGACGTTTCGGTCCGTCCTGCACCATTCTCAAGTCGATTGTGATGAGGAGATTGATTGATTGATGAAGATTAAGCCACCCAAAAGGTGGCACGGGCATGAATAGCCCGTAAGTGGTGGCCCTTTTGAGCCATTACATTCTAGTGTGTGGTCTGGTCAACATCAAAAATTAACATTTAAGATTATTAAATGTAATACACAGATTAATCTGTGTAGAGTAATACATTGTAAGTCTGCTGAGAATTAGACAAGCTTACCCCTTACGTCTTCCCTGGAAACACAAACCGAAACTGTCTCTATTTTCCGCTTGTTACAACTTGTAATAAAGTTGTCACATCTTGGCTTAACGTGTTTATGACGTATTAGAACGCTGTTACAACTTGCTATATTGTTTGTTATAACTGGTTAGGAGGTGTTAAAACTGGTTCGAACGTTGTACCAACGTCGTAGTTTCGGTGTGTGTTTGGCGGGTTGTTACGAAGGAAATATATATTTACTATTACTTACATATTTACTTTTTATTTATTATTTATATATATACGAGACGTTATATGGGGTTTATGAGAGTACATATCATTGATGTTTTAACATTCTTGCACAGCCACTAACACGCATAGAGTTTCGGGCAGGTCCTTAATGTAACTGATAATTTTAAGGAGGTAATTTCTATCACAATTGAACAATTTATTTGTTGACCAAACTACACACTAGAAAGTGAAGAGACGACGACGTTTCGGTCCTTCCTGGACCATTACTCAAGTGGATTGTGACACACACACAGTCGACTTGAGAATGGTCCAGCACGGACCGAAACGTCGTCATCTCTTGACTTTCTAGTGTGTGGTCTGGTCAACATTTTTCAGCCAGGTTATTGTGACTCCTCGTCTGCATTTTTAAAACTTGCTTACAACAAAAAATGACTTTGTATTCCGTCAACTGTTGCCTTCAGAAGTGTAGTGACGGCTGGACCAGCATGTACGGCGTAGTGGTCTTCTACTACAGGTGGGATCGCAACTGTCTCCGCGGCCAGATCTTCTACCAGATCCCCGGACAGAAATGTGGCAATTGTAATCCCAACGACTTCGAGGTGCCGATGTGGTACCCAGAGGAAGCCCAGAAGGTAAGGTTGGGTTGTGTGTTGGTCTCTCAATCTGCTTCTAAGCCTTCATTGATGTGTATTGTGGACAACAAAATAATAATGATCATCACCTAATTATCTGTACAAAAATTAAAGAATTTAAGTTCTTACAATAATGTTAAAACTCTTGTATACATAAATACAAAATATAATAACAATAGTAATTATATTTTAACGAAGTAAGAGTACATACATTCATACATACATACATACATACATACATACATACATACATATACACAAACACACACACACACACAAAAACATTAGAAAGTTGTCTTTCACAGAGTGGTAGACGGTTGGAACAAGTTAAGTGAGAAGGTGGTGGAGGCCAAGACCTTCAGTAGTTTCAAGGCGTTATACGACAAAGAGTGTTGGGAAGACGGGACACCATGAACGTAGTTCCCATCCAGTAACCAGTGTCCATAATAAATATGTAGGGTTGCTTTGTCCAGCAGCATAGTCGTCTATGTCGTCGGCTCATAGTCGAGGGACCCTGGTTCAGTCCCTGGGAGGGGGGGGGGGGGGGTAGGACAGAAATGGTTGGGCAGGATAGAAATGGTTTCCTTTCATCTGACTGTAAAACCTCCACGTTGCTATTCCACCCTATCACTTAACCCCCCAGCTTAACACTGCTTGCACGCTCACTGTGACCCTCACTGAACTCCCAGCTAATATATTAAACTGAAATATTAAATGAGGAAGCAACAAAATGAAGGGTTATGAATTTATTATAATTAATAAGAACTTAAACTTCCAGCCGCCACCACCTTCCCGAAACCTGAATGTATTACTGATCTCCCAGGAAGAACAGTGAACAATAAGCATGAACTCGAAGGGTGTAGGAATCTTGACGATAATGCTTGGGAATTATTTATAGAAATCTTTACTTTAAGGTTTTGTCCCATACTTCTTGGGGAGTGGATAGGTGCACGCTCCTCTGTTTGCACTCCTCTCTCGTCCTGTCTAAGCTCGATTATGGTTGCCCTGCATACTCTTCTGCTTCTCCTTCTACTCTTCACCGTCTTGATGCTTTGCACCATACTGGGTTGCGCCTCAGTTCTGGTGCTTTTCGTTCAACTCCCGCCCTCAGCTTGTACACTGACACTGGCTTTCTGTCTCTCCAGGATCGCCGTGATCGCTACAGCCTTCGCTATCTTGCGCGGTCCTTACAGCATCCTCACTCTCGCCTCTATCGTGCTTTGACTTTTACCTCTCCTGTAGTTCCTGTTCCTCTTCCCCACCTTCCTCTTCACCACCTCCCTCTTTCTGTTTATTTGTCTCGCTTACAAGATTCTCTTTCGGATCGTATTACCAATGTTTCTCCTCGTATTGTTCCGTCCTTGGCCCCGTGGAGGGTCCCCTTCCCAAATTTTGTACTTCCCTGACCCGCATCACTAAAGCCTTTACCCCCTCCTACAGTTCTGAAACGCCTCTTCCTTGAGCACTTTTTTCACACTGCCACTCCGTTCCCATCTTCACTGACGGGTCAAAGTCTGCTGACGGCGTGGGTTACTCTGTTGTTTTTACTGACCACACTTATATGTGTCGCCTTCCTCCAGAGACTAGCATCTTCACAGCAGAACTCTATGCTATTCTCTATGTTCTTCATCTCCTGCTTTCTCGTTGTCAATCCCCCTTCCTGGTAGTAGTTGACTCTCGTAGTGCCCTCATGGCTTTGGGGTCCTTTAATCTGGTCCACCCGGTGGTCATAGAGATTCAACATTGGCTGTTTCTTATCTCCAGTAAATCTAAGTCAGTAGAGTTTTGCTGGATTCCCAGCCATGTTGGCGTCTTTAAATAAGCGTGTTGATGCTGCTGCTAAGAAAGTTATCCATACTTGTCCCATCTCCCGAAAGGTATTCCTTATTCCGACATTTACCCAGTTATTCATTCATTCATCCTTTCCTGTTGGCAGGGTTGGTGGTCTTCTGTTACTGGTAAGAAACTGCGTACTCTTAAAAGTCGTGTGTCCCCGTGTCCTTCCTCCTGCCACCGTAACCGGCAGTGGGAAACGGCTCTAGCTAGGTTACGTATTGGCCATACACGTTTAACTCACGGTCACTTAATGGAGCGCCGCCCTGCTCCTTATTGTCCAAATTCCATTGTCCCTCTTACGGTCGTGCATATCCTTGTTGAATGTCCTGACTTCCAGGACGAGCATGTGTCTTGCTTTCCGACCGTCTCTCGCGGTCACTTGTCCCTCGATAGAATTCTTGGTGACTCGGATACTTTTGATATTGTTCGCCTTATGCGTTTCTGTTCTCTTATTGGCATCCTTGGTGATATTTAGCGCCCTCTGATTATCCCGCACATTTGGTGGTGCTACACAGCCTTCCCGGCGTGTTGTCTCCTTTTGATAATTACTTACTTACTTTACTTATTGAGGAGACAGGGACTTCCAATATAGCACATAAACACGACATAAAAATGTCTCAGCATTAATAAAAAGGAGGGACAAACATCTAAACAACAAAAATACATTCATAAACACTTTATTTAACAAGAGATACGTTTAATTAATATCCTAACTGTAAATATATCCCTAAGAGGCAATATAAATGGAGTGCAAATATGATGTACCAAAACTCAGACACACACATTACCCTACTCCTGCAGTCACCAGCCACAGATGTTGAATGGCTTTGCCCTCAGGTCCTTGGACCTGTCCCAAATTTGACTCACAAGCTAACCAGTCAAGGAAACTCCACCCACACTATTTCCTTAGGCACAATAAACCTCGCCTCTCCAAGTCTAGAGGAGACAACGGAGAGGAGCAGTCAAGGACAGCAGCAGGAAGAGGCGGAGCAGAAAGAGGGGAGCGCACCTCAGCAAGGGCAGCAACCGAGAGGGAAGCGGGGGCCAAAGAAACCTCCATTAGAGCCAATGAATTCAAAAGTCTGGCTCTAGGCCTTGGTCCAGCCAACCAGTGCCCTGACTAACTCCGCCCTCAAGGCCTCCATGGCTTCCACCAATCAAGGCTCCTGGCTAAGCTATAGGCCTGCCTGAAAGTTATATTTTACTCCCGCAGAATTCTGACTCTGAAACCGGAGCAGGAGGTATATGGCACCAGCTGAGTTTATTTCGCCTCAATTTGTCAATGGCTGTAGAGGAGACAAGGTGAGAGACGGGAGACGGTTGGGTAGGGGGATTGGGAGGAGGATTAGGGAATACGGTTGGCCGGCGATGGAAGGGCAGTGTCGCTTGCCTAAGGACACTCGAGTTTTATGGCAGGAAAGGGCGGAGGGGAAGGGCAACAGGGAAGGGAGGGTGAACAAGGAAGAGGGAGACAAAAGAGGGAGAAGGGGAGAAGGGGAAAAGCTTGGTCTGTCCATCGGATCATTACATGATGCTTCTCTTTACCTACTAATCCAGTCCTCGGGACTCTGCCAGCTGTTGTGGGTTGCATCCTGGGGGCTGTTGCTTGGCCTCGGGGAAGACCTAAACAAACTCCAGTACTCTACGGACTTTTATCCCCAACAAAAGTAAACAAACTATGTGCTTCTTTTAGTCAAATATGTCTTGTGTAATTTACCGGTGTAAGTACTCCTCTCTAGTAACAATTCTAACATATTCTTGGTAAACTGTATGAATATTATCAGACGGCTGAGTGGACAGCGCTCGGGACTCGTAGTCCTAAGGTTTCGGGTTCGATCCTCGGCGGAGGCGGAAACAAATGGGCAGAGTTTCTTTCACCCTGATGTACCTGGTCATCTAGCGGTAAATAGATACCTGGGAGTTAGACAGCTGCTACGGGCTGCTTCCTGGTGGTGTGTAACAAAAAGGAGGCCTGGTCGAGGACCGGGCCTCGGGGACGGTAAGCCCCGAAATCATCTCAAGAAGATATCATCATTGAACAAATCCAGAAGGGCCGTGATGAGGGTTCGAATATACGTTCGGGACGTAGGTTTGGTACGTAGGTTTGGTACGTAGGTTCGAACCCTCATCATGGCCCTTGTGGATTTGTTCAATTGATGCATTACACTATTGTGATTTCTGTGTGTATATATCATCATTATTACTATTACTACTAGACTGAGTACCTTCCCCCCTCCCATGTTGCTGGAGTGACAGGCCACATTTCCCTGTACACGACCACCATCACTATCACCATCCCTCACTCCAGTTACCCGGCCTGGCATCCTCAGTGATATTCAGCGCCCTCTCATTATTCCACACAGTTGATGGTGCTACATAGCCTTCCTGGCTTGGTGCCTTCTTTGATAATTACTTATTGGGAGACTCGAACCCTGGACCCCACGCATGTGAGGCCGAAGCTCTATCCACCGAGTAGTCTTCATAAGGAAAGTGTCCAGAAGCAGCATCATGCTGCCAACCTGGAATGTTATTTTACCATCCATTGTTGATTATTATTATTATTACTGTTAAGACGATTAGTTGGAGCAGTGCGGGGAGTTGAACCAACGTCGCGGTGCATGCCAGAGACATCCCCCTGGTGGGGTGAGGCGCGTGTCTGGTACTGACCAGGGGTCGTGGTGCATGCCAGAGACATCCCCCTGGTGGGGTGAGGCGCGTGTCTGGTACTGACCAGGGGTCGCGGTGCATGCCAGAGACATCCCCCTGGTGGGTTGAGGCGCGTGTCTGGTACTGACCAGGGGTCGTGGTGCATGCCAGAGACATTCCCCTGGTGGGGTGAGGCACGTGTCTGGTACTGACCAGGGGTCGCTGGTTCAAATTCCTGCACGGAGGCCAGGTCGGAGACCGGGCCTTCGCGGAACCGTTGCTCCCCGGAAGCTACACAAGGTTCCGGATTCAACTGATTTCTTCGTTGATATTTCGTACCATTGCGATTTCTTTGTGTATTGCTCTTAGTATTAATAATATTAATAGTAGTAGTAGTAATAGCAGCCTAATAAATGTCCTGTAAATAGTAGAGAGGTGGATTGTAATGAGCTTTTTGTCACAGGTGATCACGAACCTGTACTACAAGATAGCGGCCCATGTGTACAACCTGGTGACTCCCCAGTACATCCGCACGCGACGTCTGGGCCAACCTCTTGCCCACCACAACAGGCAACTGTGTCAAGGCTGCTATCAGGGAGTGTGCAAGATTGAGTGCGGCAAAGAGGTCTCATCGGCTGCATAGAAGCTGTGGCATTAGAGGTGTGTGTGACAAAGAAATGCCACATAAAAGTAAGCTGACCTTGAAAGCTTGAGGTGGCGTCATGTTAGAAAATAACTTGAAGGTGTGTGACTTGTGTTGCGAATGATGTGTATATTTTTTATGGAAAACCTATTAACATTTTTGTCAATAGACTTGAGAGAAAAGATGTGATAGAGTGTTGGGCGTGGCAATAATGGATGTTCATTTACATGTAGCACTTATTTATAGAAGTGATCATAATATGCTGTAAATACAAAACGTATATTTTGAGTAGATTTTATCCTCAACACACACACACACACACACACACACACACACACACACACACACACACACACACACACACACACACACACACACACACACACACACGCACGCACACACGCACACGCACACGCACACGCACACGCACACACACACATACACACACACACTGTCCTACCAGGAAGATAATGGGGCAAAACAATGCAGAACACAAGTCTCGTCTACTCCGCCTTATCCCAAGACAAGTCAGAATTGCTGGTTTACTGACAGCTTTTTATGTACAAATGTTGATATAACTGAAAAATTGGGAGTCAGAACGTGTGTGTGTGTGTGTGTGTGTGTGTGTGTGTGTGTGTGTGTGTGTGTGTGTGTGTGTGTGTGTGTGTGTGTGTGTGTGTGTGTGTGTGTGTGTGTGTGTGTGTGGGGGTGTGTGGGGTGTGTGTTGGGGTCGGTGGGGGGTTATTAAGAAAGTATTTATTGTTGAAACACCATTTAATTTATTAATATAGAGACAGTTCATTATTTACCAAAGTGAGCCAATATTGTGAAGTGTTTTGTTTCACTTTTGCAATCTTGACAAACATTTCGTCGAAATTAGCGCATTTTATACCTGTGCAATAATAATTAACAGTAGGCCAACAGAACCATAAACATCATCCAGCTTTCTCACATCTTTTCTTCCAAAACAAAACTAAAACAAATGAATGTCTGCGTTTGCAATCTCAGATAAGGATAGTTTATTTGTAAAAAAGTGCACATGTTATCTGTTTGTTCAGTGTGAAGGCTGTATATTATTATTTATAAGGGGGATTACTGCATGCCTTTTTCATATGTATAAGTTCCTGGATTGAAGGATATTTTATATTTTCAATTTACTGTGCAATATTATCCAAAGGGTAAGCATTATTTGTGTATAAGTGTTGATATATACATTTTTCCTAGGTGCTGTCACACAGTTCCTCTGGTGAATAACTTTATAAATATATGTACACATGCAAATGTATGTTTAAACATGATGTACATTATTGTGTACACAGTACACAATCCATTCAGTGTACCTGTACGCCACAGTACAGTATTGCGTTCAGTGAAAATGTATGTCAGTACAAAGTCTGGCTTTCAATGTACCTTTATGTCACAATACAGTCTTGTGTTCAGTGTACCTTTATGTCACAGTACAAAGACTGGCTTTCAGTGTACCTGTTAGCCACAGTACAAAGCCTGGCTTTCAGTGTACCTGTTAGCCACAGTACAAAGCCTGGCTTTCAGTGTACCTGTTAGCCACAGTACAAATCCTGGCTTTCAGTGTACCTGTTAGCCACAGTACAAAGCCTGGCTTTCAGTGTACCTTTTAGCCACAGTACAAAGCCTGGCTTTCAGTGTACCTGTTAGCCACAGTACAAAGCCTGGCTTTCAGTGTACCTGTTAGCCACAGTACAAAGCCTGGCTTTCAGTGTACCTGTTAGCCACAGTACAAATCCTGGCTTTCAGTGTACCTGTTAGCCACAGTACAAAGCCTGGCTTTCAGTGTACCTGTTAGCCACAGTACAAAGCCTGGCTTTCAGTGTACCTGTTAGCCACAGTACAAAGCCTGGCATTCAGTGTACCTGTAAGCCACAGTACAAAGCCTGGCATTCAGTGTACCTGTAAGCCACAATACAAAGCCTGGCATTCAGTGTACCTGTAAGCCACAGTACAAAGCCTGGCATTCAGTGTACCTGTAAGCCACAGTACAAAGCCTGGCATTCAGTGTACCTGTAAGCCACAGTACAAAGCCTGGCATTCAGTGTACCTGTAAGCCACAGTACAAAGCCTGGCATTCAGTGTACCTGTAAGCCACAGTACAAAATGTTACCATGGGATTGTCCCAGTGTCCAGGTATATCAGTACAAAGTGACAAGAGTGTCACATACATATGTAGAGTTTATCATGATTCTTGAGAGTTTATTTAAAGTTCTTATACGGAAAATAGTAGTTTATTAATCACTCTAATATTTGAGATATGGATTTACCCTTAGTTACCTTAGGGGCCACTATCTTTAGTGGCCTTGGTGGGGGGACAGGAAGCTGGTGGCTTGTCAGTGGTCTTCTCTCCCCTCCCCCACATTGTTCCAAAGGATTTTGATTATTTAAATGTGTATTCCTGTCTGCTGTGTTTATAAACTTTCTTTGTACGGCAGTAGTGATGACATTTTTACAATTAACAGTAATTTCTTACTAATATTTGTCATGGAAGTTTAAAATTTTATTATTGGTGAAGAGCCATTTCTCAGCTCAATGGAGAGTCGAGTTTTTATTCGGAGTGTTTACGACACTCAATGCTGGTGTTACTCCTGTGAAATAATAAAGTTTTAATTAAAAAAAAGGAGGGAGGGGGGGGGGGACAGGAATTGTTATATAAGTATTGATCAGTTTCAATACAGTATTATACTTTTTTATTTGTATTGAGTGGGTGTATTTTTCTTGTATACTAGTATGGATATTTTGTTTGTAAATAAAACAAGTTATTTTTTATATTGTGTTGCAGTTGCCTCTTGTGTTATAGTCTCTGTTTATTTATTTATTTATTTATTTATTTATTTATGCATATACAAGAATGTACATAAGGAATGTGAGGATACAAATATGGTAATTACAGTCTTGTAAAGCCACTAGCACGCGCACTGCCTGTATTATGCTATTATTATTATTAATATTATTATATATTGGTTTCTCATAGCCCCATGCACACGTGATATTCATCGATGTTCACTCACACACAACACCGCGGAAACACATATTAATGCGTCTGCAACACTTAATATGCTTATTACATGTTGGCAGCAGCATTCACTTATTGTATATCCACTTCACTTTCATATACACCAGCTTCGTGCTGCAGTTCACGCCCATGAATGTTATGAATTAAGTGTGGCAGCTATGCGTAAGGTGACGCAAATTAAGTGTGGCACCTATGCGTAAGGTGACGCAAATTAAGTGTGGCAGCTATGCGTAAGGTGACACAAATCTCATACCGTATGGGATGATGAGGTCACTTGGCTGCTGTGTCCGTTAACAGACGTGAGTTATTCTTCTTCTGTTTACTAGTTAAATATTTAACATTTAGTAGACATGATCATAATGCTATTTGCTCCTTAACATAAGGTTTATATATATCCAGTAATTTACTTTAAATTAATGCTTCAACTGACTAGAATTATATAGTTTACCTGCTTGATTGATTACTTGCTTGATGGGGTTGTGGGAGTTCTCCTACTCCCAGAGTAGTAGAACAAGTCAAGTCAAGCCCGGCCCGAGGCCAGGCTTGACTTGTGCTTAAACTGCTGCTGGGTTGAGTGTCTCCTTGCATGAAAGCTGGAACTCCTTCCCATGTCATTATTGCCCAAGTGTAGTTACAGGATGAGAGCTATATTCATGGTGTTCCGTCTTCCCAGTACTCTTCATCATTATTATCATTATTTGTTTTATTTATTTATATATTTACAAGAGTTGTTACATGGTTGTAAAGCCACTAGCACACATAGTGTTTCGGGCAAGTCCTTAATCCTAATTTTTCCCTGCAATACAACCCGCCAAATCGTTTAACAACCAGGGGCCAGATTCACGAAAGCACTTACGCAAGTACTTACGATCGTGTACATCTTTCCTCAATCTTTGACGGCTTTTGTTACATTTATTAAACAGTTTACAAGCATGAAAACTTCCCATTCAACTGTTGTTATTGTTATAAACAGCCTCCTGGTGCTTCGGAGATCATTAACTGTTTAATAATTGGAAACAAAGCCGACAAAGATTGAGAAAAGATGTACAGGTTCGTAAGTGCTTGCGTAAGTGCTTTTGTGAATCTGGCCCCTGGTACCCATTCACTGCTGGGTGAACAGAGGCTACAGGTAAAGATTGGCGTCCGGTCAATCCTCCCCGGCCAGGATACGAACCTAGGCCAAAGCGCTTACAAAGCGCCGGGTGAATGTTTTACCCCTGCGCCACGGAGACTGTAGTTTAGTGCAGTAAACTGCATGTCAGTTTAGTGACATGAACACTCGAGAGCACGGGGTGCTCCACGAGTTGCCTCGTCGGGACAGGAAGCCGGCAGCTTGTCCTATATTGTGGCTTGTTGACCTTTATGCTGTTACATAAGACCTTGAAAAGAGGTTTTCTGGATCCGTATCTTCCAACTTGTTCCGTTTTAAAACGATTGAGCTTGATTAACCCAGCCATTTCTGACCTTTGGTGTTATTAATCCTCAGAGCGGCAACCTTTCCTAGTGAGAGAGTTGACCAAGGTCTGGGAGGATTTTTGTCGCTATACATTTAATATTTGTTGTATTTGGATATATTGAAAGTGAGCTCTCCATGCTGTGATACAGTAGTCCAGATAGCGGTGCACCAGAGACTCCTACAGCTGGTTAACTTTTTTTTTTGAGATATATACAAGAGTTGTTACATTCTTGTACAGCCACTAGTACGCGTAGCGTTTCGGGCAAGTCCTTAATCCTATGGTCCCTGGAATACGATCCCCTGCCGCGAAGAATCGTTTAAATCGTTATCTTCCGGGATGTCAAAAGTCTGAGTATTCCAATGTTTTTTTTTCTTTAGCCACAGCAACTTTCAGTGGCTGATAAATCATAAATCCTTTCTTCGTCATATTAAGGGTCTCGTAGCGCAGTTGACTTTGGACTCAACTCGCAATCGGGAATCCCAGGTTCACTTCCCTGGGTGGGCAGGAATAGTTGGCCATGTTTTCTTTCACCTAATGCGTCTGTGCACCTAGGAGTAAACAAGTACCTGGGTGTTAGGAACTGTTATGAGGCTGCACCCAGGGGGAGGATCAGTAGTTCGTTTTTTTATGACCTTGACATAAACCTAAAGTACAGTAAATATATACAGGCTTCCTGTCCCCCCCCCCCCGCCCAAAAAAACTAGTTATTGTTATTAATGTACCTCATAGTTATGGTAGGTATTGGTAGGTATTTTTGATAGCTGTGATGTGTGTCGCTATGCCCTGTATGCGTGGGCTCTGTATTTGTCAATATTAGTAATTTATCATCAGTTCTGGAACTGGTGTTCAGTCGTGAACAAATAT